CCTCGGGCTCCTCCACCACCTGCTCCGCCGCCGTTGGTCGGCCCCCTGGAGTCGGTGGACATTCCTCCTCCATGGCTCCTCCCTCCGTCGGCTCCACCGTGGGCCGCTATTATGGCTGTGGCCTGGGTCCCACCTGGCTCCTCCTCCTGCTCCGGTTCCCTCCTGTCGTCTCCCTGGCTCCTCCCTCCATCGTCAACTCCCTGGACTCTGTTAGCCATCCCCCTCCTGGAAGTCCGTCCTCCGCCGGAACCTCCACCTGTCTGGTCTGCCTGCCAGCCCTTTGCCTTCCCCTGTCACCATCTCACATCCACTGCTTTGTCCTCCTCCTAGTCCCCCTCCACCCCTCACTCTGTTTCTACGGTGCGAGGACGCACCTTCCGGGAGGGGGGAGTAATGTAACGCCCCTGTGGACTGTTTATTGTGGTTTCTTCCCCTTTTGTTGGTTTAGCCCGTACCTATCATTAGTTAATTACCCTCATTGTGGTCACCTGTCTGCTACTAATAGTCCACCCTTTATTAGTTCCTGTCTGTCTGTGCTTTGGTTGTCGGTTATTGTGAATGTTACCCCGAGTGTGTGTGTCTCACCTACCTGGATCTGCCTTGTTGTATCTACATTAAAAGTCATTATTGGAATCTTTGTCGTCCTCGTCATCCTGCCTGCCTCCACACACCGTGTCGTGACAACTTCCAAGTCATGTCACATTTATACACAATTGTAAAATTCAATTATGAAACAAATTTAATTTCAGCAGAAAAGCAGCTTTAGTAGATAGTGTCATTATTCAGTTCAATGTTGTTTAAATTCAACTCAATAACTGTGCCAATGTTGCAAAATTCAATTTTTTAAATAAATTTAGCTACTGCATAAGCAGCTCTACAGAAGATAGTGTCATGAGTGTCAAGTGTGAGCTCAAATCAGTTCTGTGTTAACTCAATTTAGTACAATAACAGTGTCGATATTCAGTTCCATGGTAATTAAAAAAAGGCAGTCTTTAATAAATCCACAGAAGGTAAATCCAAACAGAAGGCTTGCAACACATGTAACATCAACGAGACCCGACAACAATGAACAGAGAGAGAGCAACTTAAATACACATGCAGACTAGACCAATTCAATTCCTGAACAGAATGACACAATTAACTCAATGAACGGAAATGGTGCAAAAAGGAAAACAAAGTCCAAACTGAATGATACGGTGACAGATCGTCCCCCCTCTCTGAAGGCACAACCTCGTGCCATATAGAGAAGGATGAGGCGGTGAGGAGGATGAGGAAATGGCGAAGGGATGGTGAAGAGATGGCAAAGGGCATGCACGCAGGTAGAGAGAGATGCCGAAGGAGGTTTGGGAGGAGGACGACAAAAAAAAAAAAAAACAGGAAGGTGTAGGTGGAGGAGATGACCAGGGAGGTGCCTTGAGTAGGAGAGGGTAGGTGGAGACGCAGGCCACAGCCAGGACTGTGCTCCATGGCGGCGTCTCTGGAGGGAGGAGCCAAGGCGTAATGGAAGCACACCACCATGGAGATGACCAGCGATGGAGGTGGAGCCCACAGCACAGACAGAGAGCAGAGGAGGTGGAGTGATGCCAAAGATCCAGGCGACCGCGACGGAGCCATAGCGACGATCACCCGAGATGTAGGTGGGGATCCAGAGGCCAGAGGGTGAGCTGGAGCAACCCAGGAAGGAGGTGGAGCGGGCCATAGCCGAAGGGGTGGAGGATCGAAGAGCAGCAGATGGCCCGCAAGTCTGCAGTGGAGGCATGGTGAAGTCCGACCCAGGTGGAGCAGACTGACCGAGGGAGCCCTGCGAGGCTGAATGGCCAATGGTCCACGCCAGAATCAAGGATGGAAGGAGTGCAGGCGCAGGAGTCTATTTGGCGGGACGAGGTGGAGCGGAGCCATCCGAGGCCGGAGGCAGAGCCACGGGCTCCTTAGGTCCAGTAGACAAAGACTCCCGGCAGGCCCGAGATGGAGCCCCACCACTGGGGTGGGGGTCACTGGAGGTGACATAGAGGGACTGACGGGGGGATGAAGATGATTGGACAGCAGGAGTGGCTGAGGACTGAGGATAATGAAGAAATGCACAAAATCCAAACAAAAAGAAAAAAATCTCTTAAAGCAGCTTGGAGAGGAGGTGGAAGGCTGGGCGGGACCAGCGAATTAGACAGATGAACAGAATTATACAGGCTTAGGGGAAGCAAAGTCTCTAACGCTCCAAACTGCAAAACAGTGTCCAAGTCCAGTAAAGATTCACTCTCAGTAACAAACAAAAAACACTGAAAACCAAAAAATAAATAAAAATAAACCGGGTAAATCACACCGCTTAATTCACTTTATAGGTCGGGTCTGTCACACTACTGTGTTGATGAACTCACACGAACACGATGATGATGATGATTATTATAGGCGGTCTTTAATAAATCCACAGAAGGTAAATCCAAACAGAGACACAACACATGTAACATCAAGAACACCCAACAACAATGAACAGAAAGAGCGCAATTTATACACAAGCAGATTAGACTAATTAACCCACACCTGAACAGAATGAAACAATTAACTCAATGAACGGAAATGGTGCAAAAGGAAAATAGTTCAAACTGAATGATACAGTGACAAAAACCATGCCGTTATACTTTTTTATACTTTTTTTAACCATAGTTATCTATATTCCATTGCTGCACAATGAGGCAGATCCATATTCCAGACATCACTTAAATAAAGTGGATCTTACTTGATAATGGATGCCATAAAGCTGTTATTAGTAACAGTGTGTTCAAGTGTTTCCTGGCAGCGGTGCAAATGACCAGAATAGCATTGAGTCCGTTGACTTGGGTCAGAGCAGCCACCTCAGAATACCTTAATGTAGTGGTTTTGCACTTGCAAACTTACATTTTGTTCTGAAAATGTAAAAGTCTAGTTTTTAAAATGTGACATACTTTGAGCTTCCAAAGCACATGTTCAGATACATGTATTTTCTCTGTCTTGCAGGTGAACGAGTGACCCAATGAGGTGGAATACTACTTTAGCGGAGTGCTGGAAGAGAAGTCACCTTGCCCCAGTTCTCCGAGAGCACAGGGAGAGAGACAGACATCTCTGATTGTTTGTTGCCAGTAGGGAGACGGGAAGGTCAGTAAACAAACTAGACTGCATTTCTTCTGCTGCAGTGTGTCATTCTGCCTGATGTTCAACTCATGTCAGCACAGGAAGAGATGTTTGGATCCTGCTTGATATATCAGCAAGTGACTGCTGTCAGTGTAAACACTGCCATTCAAAATGCCAGGCATGAAATGTCAATGAATACAGATTAAGCCAATGATTTGGATTTCAGCTTCTTTGAGCAGGTCTGAAAACTACTTTTACTATTCGGAACAAAACTGTTGAAAAATGATGATTTGACTAATGACTACATCTTCTTTAAATTGATTTTTTTTTTGCCTGAATATTGTGTAATAGGCTGCAATTAAAGGACTGGTTCACTTCCAGAATGAAAACTTCCTGATAATTTACTCACCCCCATGCCATCCAAGATGTTCATGTCTTTCTGTCTTCAGTCGCAAAGAAATTAAGGTTTTTGAGGAAATAATAATAAATAAAAAAATAATACAAAATTATATACTTTTTAACCTCAAATGCACGTTTTGCACTAGCTCCAAGGTGCGCATCCGCAAATTCATGGATTACGTAATCACATTGGAAAGGTCAAGTGCAGTTAGCTCTTTGTCTTTGTACTCCGGTTCATAAAGGAAGGGTAGGGCGAAAAACTCCATCACATTTTCTCCTCCAACTTCAAATGAAAAATGATGATTTGACTAATGACTACATCTTCTTTAAATTGATTTTTTTTTTTGCCTGAATATTGTGTAATAGGCTGCAATTAAAGGACTGGTTCACTTCCAGAATGAAAACTTCCTGATAATTTACTCACCCCCATGCCATCCAAGATGTTCATGTCTTTCTGTCTTCAGTCGCAAAGAAATTAAGGTTTTTGAGGAAATAATAATAAATAAAAAAATTATACAAAATTATATACTTTTTAACCTCAAATGCACGTTTTGCACTAGCTCCACGGTGCGCATCCGCAAATTCATGGATTACGTAATCACATTGGAAAGGTCAAGTGCAGTTAGCTCTTTGTCTTTGTACTCCGGTTCATAAAGGAAGGGTAGGGCGAAAAACTCCATCACATTTTCTCCTCCAACTTCAAAACCATCCAACATGATCCAAAATGTTGTTTTATTTATTTTTTGTAAAGGGCATTTGACTTTCTTTGCACGTTTGCTTTGTAAACACTGGGTCGGTACTTCCGCCTACGTCACGCGTGACCTTTCCAATGTGACTACGTAATGCTTGAAGTCGAGCTAGTGCAAGATGAGCATTTGTGGTTAAAAAGTATATAAATTTATTTTTTCTAAGAAACTGACTGACCGTTTCGCTAGATAAGACCCTTTATTCCTTGGCTGGGATCGTGTAGAGCCCTTTGAAGCTGCATTGAAACTGCAATTCGGATCTTCAGCCCATTGGCTACCATTGGAGTCCATTATATGGAGAAAAATTGAATGTTTTCCTCAAAAACCTTAATTTATTTGCGGCTGAAGAAAAAAAGACATGAACATCTTGGATGACATGGGGATGAGTAAATTATCAGAACATTTTTATTCTGGAAGTGAACTAATCCTTTACTACCATTTAAATCGAAATTGAAATATGGAATAATGCAATTATTAAACCACAAAAGGCTATTTAATGATTTTATTCAGTTACTCTTCTACGTAATATTTACTGATTGTGAATGAAGAGGCAGCAGTCTGTTCTGCCATCATGATATAGTGCTTATAGCAGACTCAAAGCATGTATAGGTGCTTGCACGATACAAACTACATTTGGCATTGCTTTGAGTTTATTTCAGTTTATGTGGTGCGTTTTTGATGTTTACATCCATTGTAAAAGATTTGCCCTATTTACACTCATTTTACTTATATTATTCTAAACATTATTATTATTATTGGGCATTGTATTATTAAAATATATTTAAGTTGCCTCAGTCTACAAAGTCTGAGTCCACTTTCTGATAGTTTGGGGGTCAACTGAAAAAGATTTGGCTTTTGTTCTTTCACCCTTGATGAGTAGCTCCTTCTTGTGGGCAAAACATGATGCAATTTGGAGACAAAACGCATTGCTTGCAAGTTTGTAGTTTTTGCACAACCTTTTGAATGTGGAAGTTGCTGTTTCATTGTGATATTTTTTGTTGTTGTTTTACCCTTGATATCTAAGCAGCAGTAATATGAGATGTTTAATGTCCAAATATTTTTATCTATCTATCAAGTGACACGTCACGTCACTTTCACTCACTTTATTTATTATTATTATATTTTTTTTTATATATATATATGATATTTTCTCACCATATCATGATATTACAATTAAACACAAGGCATTATTTAACATTCATTTGCTAATAATTAAAAATGATGTATCTTGTGACATCCACATTCCTCAGTCCACATTGTTTCTGATCTCTCTGCTTAATAAAGCTTGCACATGGATCCGCATGTCTCACGTCTTGTCAGCCCCGTAACATCAATATGGCTGGCCACAAATAAGTTCTTTAAAACCAAAATGAAACATACTTTCCCATTTCATTCATACAGAGAGTGGTATGGTGGTGGGTGTATAGTTTAGATTATATTCTTTGTTGTTTAACAGTTATTTCTTGCAAATTCCAGATATTTATTTAGATTTTATTAAGTATTGCTTTCCTGGAAACTCCAGCAAAGGGTTAATAAAACATTTTACAATTGCAGTGGTTATTGCAACTAGGTTCTTGTAGTATAAAGATGACTCGCAACAGGAAGCAGTGGGCTTTAATTGCCTCCCAACAGATTGCTGCCTCACAGAGAAAGCGGGTTAATTGTGTGGGCTGGGAAAGCCATTTCATGACCTTTATCAAGCATTACCAAACACAACATTTCTGAAGCTTTAATGTTTACAGGTTTCTCTCCTATTGCGCATGAAATGAATTGGCTAGCTTCCAAAATAAAAAGGCCAATCCTTCAAGACCAACATTAATTTGTACACATACTGTAGTGTCAGACAGGACATTTAAAAACATTGGAAATGCATTCTTGTAGCGACATTTCTGCAAAATTATATCACATTGCTTCTTGCATGTTTCACAACACTTTCAAAGTAAAGTGTCCAGTGCATGAACTGGTGCTAAAAGTGGTGCTTTTCATTTGTGTGAAAACGCTGTTTGTGTTTTACTGCCTCTAGCCTTAATTTCAGCTGGAAACTGCAGTGAATTGGTTTAAGTTTTGCAAAAGTAGAAAGCACATACCTCCAACGAGTCTAGGCTGTTTAAAAATGATGTTTATCCATATACATAAAGAGACACATAAGGTATGCTGATAAGAAGGAATTTTGTTCAGCATCAATTAAAAATCTTTATTTTACTGCTACAGACACCTCAGATTATGTGACTTGTTGGGTAGAGGTTTACATGCACAATTATGCACCAATTTTGTTTAATAACCCAACAGCGTATAAAATAATGAAAACACATAAAATTGTCAGATACAAATCATAGATGTTTAACCTGATTCAAACACTTAGATTTTGGTCATTTTGTCCATCAAAATGCCAAAACCACAGAGAATTTGGACAGTTTAAAAATGTCTGATGTTAGTTTTCTAGTTTTTTTGTTTTTTTTTTCTCCAAAATGTGCTATTTTTGATTATTATCTGTGTTTTGGTCTTGTTAAAGTGCCCCTATTATGTTTTGTTTTTTTATTACCTTTCATGCAGTGTGTAACAGGTCTTTTCGCGTTGGTCTGAATGAAAATGCAAATTCATTCTTTGCCACTAGGTGCCCTTTTGGAGCGGTAAAAATAGCTGTTTCCCTGGTAACGGCTGTAAACAAAGCAACACTGCGCTCACAAACGCTGCTTTATCAGGCATTACAGGCATGATGAAATGAAAATGAGACCAATCACAGCAGATTAGCATCACGGAAAGGAGGGGTTTGGAAAAATGAATCGTTGAGCGAATCGTTTGGGAGTCGTTGAGCAAGTAAGGTAAAAATAAATGCATATTATAAGACAATTAATTTTTATTTTGACCTTGCATGCATGTCAACCTGTTGTTGGGGACTCCCAAAACCAAAATATGAACCTTTCATAACCCATAATAGGGGCACTTTAATATGCAGCTAACAAGAACAGTCTAATGACTGCTTAGCAACATACTAAAAATACTCACTAATACTAGCACAATAGCAACAATTAGTGTTGTGGTGGCTGGTTTTTGCAACACTTACCAACTATTTTGATAATGCAATATTATTAAAGTCCCCATGAAATCAAAATTAAAGTTTTTTGGGTGGCTATTTTAAAAAGGGGCGGGGCTGCTTGATATGTCCCGCCCTGTCTTCCTGTTTCAGTTAAAATGACGTCAACACATAGAGTAACGCTGCGTGTTTCTAAGCATTTCAGGGGACCTTTAACAATGTAGTAAAATTAACAATATCATACCTTGCCAAGTACTTTTTCAATTGCCTCTGACATGTTAAAATACGACTGTAAAGTACAATGAAATGATGGCTGATTGTCAGTCGTCAGCTTAGCCAAAGCCCCTCAGGAGACTGGCTGTTTCCAGACTGTATAAATGTTGAGCACTTCAGGTAAACCATTAGCTGGTGACCTGCCAGTAAACTGCCTACATGCCACATGCTGTCTGCTGACAGTCAGCCAGTATGTCAGTGTACTCCGAGGGTGGATGTCTGTCCACCACCTGACCACTGTCTCTGCTGCTGTACTCGGCCATCTGGCACTGCTCTCTCTCTCTTGAGATGGGATTAAGTGCACTCACCTGTCACACAAATGACAACAGTTCCACTGCAAACTCCAAGAAATGAGAGTGAAAAACTGCTTAGTTAGATTGCTAAGAGTGATGTGTGTGTGTGTGTGTGTGTGTGTGTGTGTGAAAGAGAGAGAGAGAGAGAGAGAGAGAGTTTTCCCACATACAGTACTGAGTCCTTGAGCTTTTCAGTACCAAACTCCCTTGAGTGTCATTCGTTTTGACATTTCTATCCTTTGCCTCATGTGTGAGTTTTGGACATTGTGTTTGTATTAG